ATGTCTCTTTCCCAAACCAATCAAAATTTAAGACTCTACTCTATTTACTTTTAAACAATGGTTGGTACAATAAATTCTATCATCTATTGTACGATCCCCTTAAAAACTGCACATTAAATAATTCTTAATCCTTTCACTTCCAGTAGTGATTAACATGTAACTTCTCCTTATAATATTCAAACCTTATCCACCAAACAGGTAATGAGAATACTCAAACTCATCAAGTATAAGTTGTTATCTTGATCTAACACCAAATTCTTGTAACTAATTTACAAGGAAATGTGTAACAGCTGGAGGGGAGAATTAACAATTAGATCTTGGAAGTTAAAGGGTTAAAGTTCACATAATATTTTTTCTAACTTTCCTCAGTTTTTTTTCTATAATAAGGATATTTGAAGCTTACAATAAACAAGATGAAAGTCATAACTGCTCATGCATAACTATGTAGAGCACTATTCCCCTGAATAACCACTTGAGTCTTAATTAGTGAAACACAAGATAGAGCTAGCAACTACAAAAAAAGTCATGCACAATATTTCCTCAAATAAGCACCCACACTCTACTGAATGCCCTCCCTGAATGAGCACTCCACCCCCTAGGCCATGGTTTCAAACATGCACCCCCCTTGAATAAATTGCTCCCCCCCCCGGGTTAGGGTTTCATTGTGGTTAGTAGGGATACCAGAAAAACCTGTTTCTATTTTGTCACTTCATTTACAATTTTTCAAGCTTCAGCTACATAGGAATCAGTACAGAAGAATAGTTTCTTTTCCATTCCAGTAAATTCTATTCCCATGAGCTTGCAGAGTAGCTGCATGTGTATTATCTGCTCTTTAACCCTTTCACTCCCATGAGTGACCAAGACAGAATTTCTCCTTACAATATCAATACAATATCAAACAGACAAGTAATGAGAATCAAGAAAAATATCAATTAGGGGATTATAAGTTGATCCAATACCAATTTCTCCAAACAAATATCACAATAACTGTATGGCAGACAGTAAGGAGAATTACTAATGAGATCTTGGAAGTTTAGGGCTAATTTTTCTATTACTGCACTAACTTGATAAGCACCACCTTATTTGAGCACCCTTCTTCAAATAAGCACCCCTCTTTTAGGCAAAATTTTAAATGAGCACCAAGTTGCTTATTCAAGGATATAGGGTATTTATGCTTCATGTGTATGCTAGATTTGTTCAAGCAAGTACATATCTGAAGTAATGATTAAAGGCATGTGTGCTACACTGCACCTGAGTGATTAAAATATCTCATGAAAGAGAAGAAAACATTGATATTAATAATTATTGATCCTTAACAAATCATAATTTATCACAGATGATATCTGACTTACTTTCAAAGATGGTTTAGGATCTGGAAGAAAATGGATCATTTCTCGCATTTTCTCAAAGAGTACTTGTGCTGAAACAAAATATATAAAAAGGAAAACTTATGCCACAAATATGACTAAATGAATAAAAACTTTTCTTTTAAACAAATTATTTTTTTCTGTAACAAATATCTGAAATCATGGGTTTTCACTTTGTATAATAGCTATTGAGGATTTGGATGACAATTAAAATTCTACAGATACCTTTGAGTAAAACTTTTAGCCAAGGTAACTTCTGAGTAAAACTTTTGGCCAAGGTAACTTTTGAGTAAAACTTTTGGCCAAGGTAACTTTTGTTAAAGCAGGATCAGTTAATGCTGATTATTTCAAGAAACTCTAAACAGCATTTTTATCCTTGCAGTATGCAGGAAGTTTGTCATCATGGATCAAGTTGACAGCCTAGCCTGGCACTAGTTTCCTACAACTCAGTGGTAGAGCACGCAACATACTAATCCGAAGGTCGTAGGTTAGACTCCTATTGTGAGCACTTAGAGTTCTTTTTCTCCAAGGATGCCTGTGTCATTCACTGGATATGGTCTTCTTTTATCTTCCTTCTTTTTCAAGATTTAACTCTTGCTTCCCCAAAACAGCTTTGAAAAATAACTTATGAATGGAAATGTCCACATTTCCTAAAGAATTCAAGACTATGTACAAACCCTTCTATTTGTTAAAACAGTTGATGAATACGTTGGGAATTAAACATACGTAGCCTGCAGATGTACCTTTTGGTTCAAATTTGTTTTGATATTCCACTTTGTGGCCTGCATCGATCTTTCCCATTGTTGTCTGAAATCGAAAAACAGATTTATCCCAAAATTGTTATCTGTTTATGAAAATCCTTGCCACTCGAGAATTCAATTCATGATGGAAAATCGATTAATGCATCGATAATGATCAGCGCGAGAGGCTAAAAACTACCTTTGTGTATTTTTGGTGACTTCGCCAACTAAGACAAACAAAAGAAAAGTGAAATAAACTAAACAAGATAAAAACGATGGAAATGTTCCTTACAGCGTACTCCTTCTTGCAAAGTGGCTCCAGTTGGGAACACAAAGTCAGAACTTCAATAGCAACATCGTCTGGAGAAAACTGAACCTTCCAGAGTGGCTCATGAAGGCGGACCTCAACTGCAGGATGCGAGGAAAACAGGTGAATTTGCTTGCCTGGTTAATATTTACAATCTGGCGAGGACTTCGTAATAGAAGGACAACACGCACAAACCTTTGAATGAAGGATCGTAGGCAAGAGGTGCACATAATGGCCCAGGAAGAAGGGCTCGGTCTAAATTCATTTTTCGAATTTCAAGCCTTTGCAATGTTGAATTATCTGCGCATGAAATCTGGAAAGAAACTTCCTGCAAAGGACGCCATGACAGCTGTTCAGATCGATACTTCATTTAGGATTCATTAATCATCGCACGTGCGGTGGTATTCTTGCGATGCACCGCTGACCAACATTAGTTAGGAGGGGGAGAAAAAGGGGGAAGGGGTGGGGCAGGCAATGGGAAAAGCTGGAGAGGGAGGTAGGGGGGTCCTGCTTTAGTGAAAGGCGATTTCATCGTTAAAGGTCTGAATGAAAAACGAAACAAATCGAACAAACGCACAGATGTTGGGCTAACTGGTGAACCAAAGGGTTGAGCAGCCTAAAACATGGAGTTACCCGGCTGAGTTTTGAGGGAAACTAATAAATTGACAGGGTCTATAGAGGAAGACGGTTAGAGGAGTGGGGGGGGGGGGGGAGGAACAGGACTGTTGGTAATTAAACAGATAAGTAGATTAATCTCAATCATCTCTTATCTGTTCCAGGCAGTTGGACAGTTAAAATGGATACTGAAATAGTTAACAGAAAAAATCGAAGCAAAAAAGAGGAAAATTTGGTCAGGTTGAAAAAAAGGGGATTTAAGTTGCATAATGTTCCTTCATTTATTTGATCTGCCACTAGTGTTGCACTGTTAATTTGTATATTCCTTTTGGATAACCATACATCTGGATCATGTCAAGTCATCTCATGAATTAAACTTAACCTTTAAATCAACAACAAAGATAGTTTTGAGCTGATTTACATAAGTTTCCCAAAATTTTGACTTGCAGTATGCAGTCAAGATGTTGCAGTCCACTAAACATACTACAACAAGAACTTTTCAATAATTTAATCAAAATTGAAGAAACTTTATTCCTATCACTCTCAAATAAATATATTACAAAATTCCTGCACTTAAATCTCATAAATAATATATATTTTCCTGTACAATTTACAGCTTGGATAAACTATCTCTAGACTAAGGAAACCTCTCTACTTGACTATATACCATTCCCTCTTTCGGAAAAATCTCTATATACATTCAAAAAGATAATTTTTCAAACAAAGTATAGGAAATGGGCATAAAACCCAACTATCAAGTGTAAAAATGGTTCTTTTTTTTCAAGAGGATTGTGGCATATTCAAAACCAAAAATTCACTTATCAATTTCATTCTTGACCCCTTGGGACACTGAGACAAACTGATTGAAAACCATCTTGAGATTTTCAGGTTCTAAAAAGGAGATAATTACAGCGTTATGTGATACTTTATGCAAACTGACCCAATGCTTAACATTTAAGCTCCCAAGAGTGACCAAGACAGTATTTCTCCTTATAATGACAACACAGTATCAAACAGACAAGTGATTAGAATAAAGAAACATATCAATTACAGGAAAATCCATGGATCAAATACCAACTTCTTCTACTTCAAAGGATATACTGAGACACTGAGATAAACTGATTTAAAACCATCTTGAGATTTTCATCAAATTTGAAAAAAAGTTGTTGAAAGAGTTCTAAAGAGGAGATAATGACAGCATTATGTGATCACATCACATCTCCCTAAACAGCACAGTACATAAAATATATTTCCTATCATCAGTCTCAAAAAATTTAAGGATCAAGACATTTCTGACAAAGTTAAATGCAAGTCAAACTGGTTTGAAGGCATTTTAACCTGAAATCCGTTTTCAAATACGACAGAAATACTGTAATTAACATTTTAAAGAATCAAGGAGTTCCAGCCCCTTGAGTAATTATTCAATTGTTGTATCAATCGTCTCATACTTTATGAACCAGAGAAAGTTTGATAATTTCAATCTGCGAGTTTCATAATACATTTCGACTCAAAATTCACTTCGCATGGCAGAAGTATTGTGCTGAAATAAACAAGACAGAATGAAGCTGACGCCATTCGTTTTGAATAACACATGAACATGAAGAACATGAAACGGCACCAGTTTAAACTCATGAGACAAAGCCCACGTATTTATTTGAGGTAAATGAACTGACAGTGGTGAGGGATTTGGGGGCCATGTGATAAACAAGCTTTACCGAAGTTTATCCTCTGGGCAGCCCTTCAAGCCCAAAGAGGCAATTAAAAAAATACTCACCAAAACACAAAAATCGGGGATGATTGAGGCAAGACTTTAACCGTTGTTAAGATACACGCCTACATACCATGTATAACAGACTTGGAGAGCAAAAAGGCCAGAGAGAGTTGTGAGCCATGACTTGGGAAATCCACCTCAACCTCCCGAAACCGATTTCGCCGAAGGCTGTTGTAAGAGCAACTCAATCCTGAAGCTGGAACATTTTTCAAAGCCTTGTGTCCTAGGTGACTACAAAGAGAAAGAAAAGACAATGTTATTTGAAGCGATTTGAAGCTTGGGGGCCACCTCCAACTTTACACAATTTTATTTCAAAGTTGCAGTACAATAAGATCAAATTCTGAACTACCTTTTATTATCGTAACGAATATCTCACGATCATCCCCACATACAACTTCGTGATTCATAGAAGTAAGACATTTAATAACATCTTAAGACTAACCTTGAAGATTTGTAGTCTCATATGCACATCTCGATTGTCAGCAAATCAAATCTCAAACTTCAAGTCCTCGGCCTTTTTTTCCGTTTTGTTCGCACTTTGATTATTAAAATAACCTCGAGTCATCTGCAGAGTTTGAAATGGTGGCAAACTTAACATACTATTTCATCCCTCTCCGAAAAACATTTCAAAACAGTTTATCGATTGCCCAGGAAAAGACCGCTGAAAATATAAAAAAAAAAATAGGCGCAAACGCGCATGCGTAATGAAATGGATGCCTTTTGCACTTTAATTACGTCACTGAAAGAAAAATCTTAATATATTACGGCCCTCTTCCTTACTTGTGGTAATTAATGCTGGTGTTAATGCTGGTGAAGACTTGCGAAAACTGTGACTGATTTCTTCAGATACCACATACTCGAGGTATGTTCTAACGTGCGTTGCCTCTATTATAACGCATAATTTAGGTTATGTTGATTTTCTTGGATTTTCAGGAAAATAGGCCCGAATGTTCGTCAGATATTTACGCACAAAGATATAACGTAAATATTCCGAAAATTGAAATATTTCCATCGAAATCTTTCTTGCGTCTGTCATTACCTTTACTCGAAAAAGCCTCATACACTTTATTAGCCAAACTGGGATATCTATATTTTATGGTTTGCGCCCGAAGAACGATTTTCCGGAAGGCATCTTATTTTCTTGAGAGCTACTATCAAAAATACAAATCGTAATCACTTGTATTTTAACAAAAAATTCCGATTTCCTCGATTTTAAATAAAGTCGAAGCGTACCTTTCACAATGAAATACTTATATCGACTCGTCATTCATAACTTTAAGTAACATAACCGCTCATAAGCCGAACTGACGTTCCAACTATTGTCGTAATTTCCACCTTTATTTAGCGGTCACCCCCATTAGGTGGTCGTGGTCAACCTTGTCTCTGTCTCAAAATCAGTACTTGTATTGTCGTCCACCTGTATTGAACGGTCACTTATAGCGGATCCGCTCGAATGAAACTAAGAGTAATCTTTCAAGTAAAGTTTTATCCATGTTTTTCTTCCAAAATTTATACTATTAGTATTTTTTAGCAAGTTTTTATACATAAGTGGTCAGGTATGGCCTTCGTTATCGTTTATTATTTAACTCATTTCCAATGAAACTTGTAATAAACAATCAACCTGTGTTAAGAGTGTGTATGTGAAATGAAGATCAGCGTAAGCTGCAGGTTTTGTTTCCTTGGGTGATAGGCTGTTACCATCGTACCATAAATACCAATTCAGAAATGTTTTGAACTTCAAATGTGCGCCGCCTCGCAGAAAAAGTCACTAGCAGGTCTGGATAGCACACAGACGGAGGGTATCAATGCAGTCACCTACCTGGAGGCGATCACTGATTTTCTGAGGAAAAATGATGAGAATGATGACGATGTATCTATATCTGTAGCTTGTTAACAATATTTTGTGAGAGGAGCTTGTCCAGGGCTCACTATGGAAGAGAGAATTTGAGGATGTTAAGGTTGGGAGAAAGTTTGGAGAAGTCTCACCTTCTCTGACTATGAAGCCATCTTTATATTCTAACGCCCGCCTCATTCAAAACTTGCATATGCTCAAAAGCTTCGACTGTTTTCTTTAGTGTGCCTGTACAATCAGTGCTAGGAATTGTTGAAATTCAGGTCAGTTTAAAGATAGGAGCCATTGCTCTTTGTAAGTGTCCTTCTCTATGTGGTCCTTCAGATGGCCTTCTTGAAACTTGCCCTTTGACTTAAAATCATTGACGCACACGAGCGTCTATAACTAATGTATTCCTGTTAATGCAGGCCTTCAGGATGATAAGGCGAGAGAAATTTTCTCACGTCTGCGAGCTGGTAAACGCTATCTATCCAGTGGACTTTAAGGGCCATCGGATTAGTGAGGACCCTACGCGAATCATTGCAGTGGGTTAGGGATTCTTGAATAAGCCCGAACTTTTGACCCTCATAACTTTTTTTAAAGTTTGAAAGAGATCGGCGAGATGGCATGTGTCACGCCTGCCTGGTCCTCTCGCAGACAGACTTTCAAGGCCCACAATACTCAAAATGAATATCAAATTCTCGACCTAAATTTACTTTTTCAAAGTTTTTCGTTCGAAGGCGCGAAATGATCATGAATAGTCTCCAGTAGAATTCCAACTTCAAATATGTATTTCCACTACAACGACTTACTTCCTCAATAAAGCAACTGTATAATGTGTGCCGTCTCGTCACTCGTCTCGTCTCGTCTCTCGATACGCGTGCTAAAATTGAATGTAAGAAGGGTACTATCTTTGTGCGTTACATTTTCAGTTGGCACGCAGTTCGGAATACACGTACAACGTACATGATAGGAGGGAATTTTGTTTTTAGAATAGTTGGTCAATTAATTTTTCCTTTCTTCTGATAACTTTTTCATAAATTTCTCAACTTCAACCATAAAATCATTGAATTTAAACTGTTCCAACAATGTTTTTTCCCTTCTCAGAGAAATCAACATGGAAGAGACCCCAAGACGCTCTAGACGATTACAAGGAACACTGCCTGAACGCGATCCCATTGAATTGTTGTGTGGAGTTTGCCGTTTGCCAATTTCGCCAAACTTGTATAACTGTACGATAACAAGGTATTGTCATCAACCCATTCACCGTTCGTGTTTGGAAAATGCATTACGAATCAATGCACGGTGCCCACTATGTCGTGCCCGGCAAGGAGTGCAACATTCAGATAATGTTAATCCTAGGAATGGAGAGCGTTGGCTACACCAGTGAGATTAGTACAAGTAAGAGCAATTTTTTATTTTTTTCCAATAACGATTATTGTTGTGAATGAAACCTGAAATACTAATTTTTATTTTTAAGTCTCCAGACCCATTTCCTTATGAACTTGAAAGATTACCTGAAAGGCTCTTCATATCTTTAATAGAGGACTTCATTGACGTACAACAAACAACTGCATTTAATAGTTTTCAATACCGTTTAGCTTTTGATTCTGTAGTAAATTTGTGTGTTTTTATGTTTATTAAAGCCTATTGCAAACTGAATTAAAGAGTTTACCTTTTTTTATTAAAAAAGTAAGAAAATTGGATCTTGCAGACATGCTAACCAACAACAGCAATTGCTGTAATCTTTGTAACTGATAGAATAAGTACAATAAGTTAATTGGTGCCATATATCTAAGTATAGTATAATACCATATAATATAAGTATCATATGTTAATTAGTGTTGCTATTTTATTGGTGTCATCAATTAATCCATCTGGGCTAAACACATTGACACTTAAATAAAGGTTTTACTTACTTACTAACGTAAGAACTGGCCAGCAAAGAGTAATAAAGGAATAACACGAAGTATATAGCTAAGGAAAAATTGATTTGGATTAGCAATCCACAAGCATATAATGGCACAATCATCGCAAAAATAGTCATGTGCAATGCATAAAGTGTATTTTTTTGGGCCTTACTGCGTAATTATATTAAGTATCCACTACGCGACTACTAGCGAGCTTGATACCGTGGGATTAAGAGTGTCAATTTGGAAGATAAATTTTTTTTCTAGTGTTTTGTGGCTTTCTGAAGTGCCTAGATGTAAGGAAATGCCGCAAACTGTCATATGTTGTTTAGAATGATTAGGGAGATTAAAGTGTCTATCTACTGGTTTGGATGCGTCCTTGTCATTTCTTTCTGGTGTTGAGGTGTTCTCGGAATCGGTTACCTAGTCGTCTTCCGTTTCACCAATGTCGTCTTCAAGTTATGCAGCAAATAACGTTGGCGAAGGTACACGTAAAGTGATCAGTGATCTTAATGGATCTCTTGAATCCCGATATTTTCTCTACGTTATGAACGAAAGGACAAGTTGAAATGAACTTCTGACCAAAAAGTTGCCTATGTTTTTGTCACGTTTGAATGAAATTAGTGGGGGCTGTGAAAAGATAGTATCAGTCTCTGAATCGTTTTGGAGTAATTTAAAGTTTTTTAAGAATGATAGATTAGACTGCATGGTTGCGAAGGTGAAATGTGAGTGAATGGAATGCGGTCAGTGTGCGGTCAGCTGTTTTTAGTGCTACTTTCGATCAATTTGTTGGGCATGGTGGTGGCCCGCTTGAATGACAGACTGACAGGGTAGCCACGTTGCCTCTGGTTTTTCCGAAAAATCATAGTCGTCACAACATAAACGACGAAGTCTGAGAAACTCTGAAAAAGGTATGAAATTCTTCACATGTGCTGGCTGCAAAGATGAATACCACAAGTAACTGTGTGAATCTGTAGGTTTGTAGTAAACAATAGTGCATAAACCGCTGCCTTCAATTGAAATTTTGATGTCTAAAAAAGCCAAAGAAGTGTCAGAAATTTCCCAGGTATATTTAAGTGCCGGGTGAAAGGAATTGACGACTGTTATAAATTGAGTGAGCTCCTCTCTGGTAGAGGAGGTTGCGCCAATGCAGTCGTCAATGTAACGGCCGTAGAGTTCAGGTTTGGGATCGTGGCATTGACTAAAAGACTGATGTTCGATAAAACCTACCAAAAGATTGGCGTAGCTGGGTCCCATTTTAGTACCCATGGCTACGCCACTAGTTTGTTTGTAGTAGTGTCCCCCAAATGAAAAGCAATTGAGTGTAAGTACTAGTTCGGTTAGACGAAGTAGCGTTTCAGAGCTAGGTTCCCTAACCGTGTGTTGATCGAAAAAATGTTTGAGGGCCCGGAGACCTTCGTCATTAGGAATGACAGTATAAAGAGATGTAATATCTGTA